AGGGCAGTGCATTTTTATTTAATTTATCCGCAACAATGAAAACCGTAACCCTTGTTATCGATAACGTGTCCACCACGATACATCCGTTGTCGTGTCCAGCGTATCGTAAGCTGGTCGATGCTAGATTCAGTCCGGCAAATGAAATCATGATCACCATGCAAGTTATGTCAAGCTACATAACGAATTCCTCCACAGTATGTATTTGTAGCCTTGCCATTGTGTTCGCGATGCACGCCTCCGGCCAGCTAAGCATGTTGTATACGAGGTTTAACGAACTCATGAAGGATAACGCGAAGGGAACCTCCTCAGTCGAACGAAAATTAGCCGTCATCGTCAAACATCATTTGAGAGTCTTGTGGTAATATACTTAATTATTCAGTTTTCATTACCCCTTGTGGATATATTAGCCGTTATTTTAAAGAAAAGTAATTATTCTGATTATACTGTATAAAATTAAGTGTTTGACAAAAATGTGTAAAGAATAATTTGATACTTAAGAATATATATTTTTATATAGTATATTTTTATATATTTTTGTTCGGTAAATTTGTATACAAGTAATATATTCACAAAGAAACGCACATCCGCAATCAAATATGTCGAAACGTTCAAAACAAAAATATGTTTCAGTTTTATAACACGAATGGAGGGTATTATGTATAAAGCCTGTTTCGTGGAATTGGCAGGATGCACGTTAAATATGTGTATAATTGGATATTATTTAGTAATGGTATGCTAATTATCTGAAAATAAAAATATCTTATTAGAAGTACTTTAAAATTACATTTGTTTCTGTGACACACACACGCAGATGTATACTTAAACAATTTTATTTAATTATATAATTATAAAATCAGTTTAAAAATTACAATTAAATTTTCTTCATATATGATAGTTAATTTACATTATGATTTTATTTATTTTTTATTTAGAATTGGAGTGTGCTTAGTTCAGCAAAAATAACGTCGTGCGTTGTGGCATACATATCAATGGCCTTCAATATTTTTATTTTTTGCTACATCGGCGAGATAGTCACCGAACAGGTAATATCTTGAGATCAATATAGTGCTTCTCATAAGTTTTACATATAATATCATCAGAAAATATAATAATCTATTTTTTAGTCGAATATTTAAATTGAATATATTCTCGCTTCCTTTAATACTTTTATGCCTTAATATAAATCTTCAGATGCTCATAGTGAATTTGAACGTGTTTGTATTAATTTATTAGTGTAAGAAAGTCGGTCGAATGGCATATATGACCAATTGGTACGAGTTGGATCACAAAACTGCGCGTAGTTTCATACTAATAATTGTTCGGTCAAATAATGTAATTAAGATAACAGCAGGGAAAATATTTCCTTTGTCTATCGCCACGTTCGGGGACGTAAGTCATATAAGATCATCATTATAACAATATTATATCAAGAAACATTTAATAAACTCCACATCATGCATATTGATAATTTGCATTATAAAATTGTAAAATTTAACAACCCTATAACGGAAAATTGCACTCTTCAATTTTATATTATTCAGATAAATATTTTAATTAATTTCTCAATATTAGAAGCTTCAATATTGGAAATATTTGTCCGTATCGCATGTAGAAACAAAACTTTGTTGTTCCAGGTAATTAAAACTTCTGTAGCGTATATGAATGCATTACAAGCGATGTCTACATGAAATTAATTGATGTATATAGTAAATTAGATAATATATAAAGATATTTTGTATAAAACTAAGTATATTTTCTATATACAATATATTTAAAAAAGAACTAGTTTCTGTTGCAATATATAATTTTTTGCGATTAAAATTATTTTTGAAATGTCGTGCTCTGATTATCCGAAACATCCATATCAACACACTTAAATAACTCATGGAATATTACTTTTTATCTCATCGTTCATAATACTAAATTTCCTGTCTAGCGAACACGAGAAACTTCATACATATAATGGAATAGATAAACTTACCAGATCAATGCACATTTTAGTTCACTTTTATATATCTGCTCTTCAGGTCTTTCTACGATTAGTTGCATATGAAATACATTAAGTTAGTTAACGTATAAACAACATAATTTATATAGACAGAATTATATTCTTTAGCAAGACTTCAGTATATCTGTTCACTTCTATATCTGCTCTTGTAGTATTTGTTACACGCGATGTCCACCCGTAGGATAATCCACAATATAAACTTATACCGACGAATAAGTATTGATCGAGTATACATATACATCCCTCCTCAAGACAATCGCAACCAAGTATCGTTCATTAAACTTCCCCGAATGTTAGCGCAAGCGCTGCTTTGCGTCCAATCCAAACGTTCAGTTCATGTAATACCCCTCGACTTAGTAATCCGCGCACTTTCATGGAGCGATTATGTCGAGCCCCAAGCCTGTACCGAGCAATGCTGATCCAAAAAAGTATAACGACTACAGTTTACAACTGAGCCGATGGTTCCTCGTATCGATCGGCGCTTCGCCACAAACACGTACAACCAGTATAATAGAAAGGCTTTCCTCGATAGTACTTATTATCGTTTTGTCGTCGGCGATAGCTGCAATTACGATACCGGGTATATTATACGTGTTTCTCGAGGCGAAAGGTATTCAGATGAAACTGAGCCCCCTTGTTCCGCTATTTCACAGGATAATGGGCTTCTTGATTTATTTGATATTACTCTCACACGGCAAAGCCATTCACAAGTGTATGAAACACATGGAAGAGGACTGGCGTGTCGTTCAAAAAATGGGGGATTTTAAAGTGATGGTGAAACACGCCAAGATGGGCCGTTATATGGCCGGAATCTGTGCGGCCTTCATGCATAGCAGTTCCGCGTTCTTTAATATATCCGCAACGATGAAAACCGTAACCTTTGTTATCAATAACGTGTCGAAAACGATTCATCCATTGTCGTGTCCAGCGTACCGTAAACTGGTTGACGCGAGATTTAGTCCGGCGAATGAAATCATGATGACTATGCAATTTACGTCGAGCTACCTTACGAATTCTGCCACAGTGTGTATTTGTAGTCTTGGCATTGCATTCGCAATGCACGCCTGCGGTCAGTTGAACATGCTGTGCACGTGGTTTAACGAACTCATCGAGGATCACGCCAAAGGAAACCATTTAGCGGAAGAAAAATTAGCCAGTATCGTCAAACATCACATGAGAGTCTTGTAGTACTTTAATTTTTTAACTATGGAACTTTCACTGCATCTTATGTGTGTATTAGTCGTTATTTAACGTTCCCTGCCGAATCGTTTTTACTCGACTTTCACAACGTACCTACCGAAACAATACACGTTGCGAAACTTGACAAATGTGTTATAATTATTGAATTTATGATTTTTTGTGAATTGGAAAGTCATTTTTATCATGAAAATGAATATCTAAGGTAAAAAGAAATATCAATTGACTTGAAAATCGAGTTTTGCGTGCATCGAAAACAATATACGTAGCAGGGAACGTGTTAAGTATTGCAATAATAAATTGCAATAATATATCCCGATTATGTTGCATCATAAATTGTCTTCCGAAAATTTTTAAGGGACGACATCATGCTAAAAAAAGTATATATTCTGTTCGGTAAATTTGTATATAGATAGCACATCCGTATAAAACGCACGATTCCAAGTCTAACACGTTAAAACGTTGAAACAAAAATGATATGTTACAGTTTTATAGCATATATGGAGAATATTATGTATAAAGCCTGTTTCTTAGAATTGGCGGAATGCACGATAAATATGTGTTTAGTTGGATATTATTCCGTTATGGTATGCAAATTATCTGAAATGAAAAATATATTAGAAATACATTAAAATTACATTTTTTTATATTATCCTTATATATATAATGTTAATTTTACGTAATTATAAAATTAACTTTCCGAAAATATAATTGAATATGTTTGTATTACGTGATAGCAAATTTATATTTTTATTTTATAGAATTGGAGTGTGCTTAATACAGGAAAAATCACGGCATATCTTATGGTATACATATCAATGGCTTTCAATATTTCTATATTTTGCTATATCGGGCAGATTGTCACCGAACAGGTAACATCTTGAGATCGAAAGTAGTGTTTCACATTTTTAATATGCAATATCGTTAAAAATTATTACAATCTATTTTTAGCTGTATATTTTTGTCTCATTATAAATATTCAAATGCTCGTAGAGAATTTGAAAGTATTTATATTAATTTATTAGAGTAAGGAGGTCGGTCGAATGGCATATATGACTAATTGGTATAAATTAGATCACAAAACTGCGCGCAGCTTTGTACTAATAATTATGCGATCGAATAATGCGATCAATATAACTGCAGGAAAAATATGCTCATTGTCTATCGCCACATTCGGAAACGTAAGTCATATAGATCGTTCCATTCAAATACAATGTTATATTACATTAAAAAATATTCAACAAACATTGCACCACATATTAATAATTTGCATTATAAAATTGAAACATTTTACAACTCTATGGTTAAAAATTAGACCATTCGATTTTACGTTATTCTTTATTATCTAAATATTGAACTTAATTATTTTAATTAATTTTTCAATATTGAAACTTAAATTTTTACATATCTTCGCATATCGCCTCGGCATCGAGATCAATTTCATCAGATGCAATTTCAGCCAGATTTCGAAATGTACGCTTATTATTTCGTCCCTCACGTTGTGTGACGCGCGACGTCAAGAGGGACCCTACTATGATTAGAATAAGATCGGATCTTCTGCTATTAAAATATGTATGGAATAATATTATTGTACGAGAAACTTGTAGCTATAATCATGATGTAATACATGTTAAGATGTACAAGTTATTAGTACAATTGTATTATTCCACAAATATCTTTCATGTGACAAAGAATCCGACCTCTTTGTATTTATAGTTTGGCCGCTCGTGATGCAAAACGTCGCGGGGTTTAAGTTGTTATGCGCTCGATTGCTACATATGCCGTGGGCCGCAAGGAAAGGTATAATAAACGCGCACTTTGAAAACTGGCGGAAAGTAACATCTAATCTACACCAGGGTCTGTTATATCTCATGTAGAAACAATACACTTCGTTGTTCCAGGTAATTAAAACTTCCTTCGCATACATGAATGCATTGCAAACAATGTCCACGTGAAATGCATTAAGTTAGATAACGTATAGACGACATATTTTGTATAAAAATAATTCTCTAGATACAATAAAAGTGTGATTAGAAATACGATTATTTTCTGTCGCGATATATAATTTGTTCACGCTCAAAATTATTTTCGAACGATCACGCAATGTCTCTGACCATCCAGAACCTTTCACTAATCAACGCTGAAATAACTTATGGAACATTATTTCTCATCTGATCTCTGATAATATTAATCTTCCCGTTTGACGCACACAAGAAAGTTGAGGAAAATACCGGAAAAATAACATTCAAACCAAATCGAATCGAAGTACGCTATAGTTTACTATTACACATATTTGCTCTCGTAGTATATGCTGCATGCGATGTCCACCCACGGGATAATCTGCAATGTAAGCTTCTTCCGACGAATGATTATTGATTGAGCACATATATACATCCCTCTTCAAGACAATCGCAACAAAGTATCGTTCATTAAACTTTCCCGAATGTTAGCGCAAGCGCTGCTTTACGTCCGATCCAAACTTCCAGCTCGTGTACTACCCGTCGACTTAGTAATCCGCGCACTTTCATGGAGCGATCATGTCGAGCCCCAAGCTTATACCGAGCAATGCTAACCCGAAAAAGTATAACGACTACAGTTTGCAACTGAGCCGATGGTTACTCATATCGATCGGCGCTTGGCCACAATCACGCACAACCAGCATAATAGAAAGGCTTTCCTCGATAATACTTATTCCCATTTGTACATCTGTGGTGGCAGTAATTACGGTACCGTGCCTATTATATGTTTTTTTTGAAGCGAAGGGCATCCAGAAGAGAGTGTATCCCCTCGGTCCGCTGTTTCACAGAATAATGGGTTCCTTCAATTATTGGATACTACTCAGACACGGCAAAGAGATTCACGAATGTGTAAAACACATGGAGGAAGACTGGCGTGTCATTCAGAGAGTGGAGGATTTCGAAGTGATGATGAAGCATGCCAAGATGGGCCGTTTCCTGGCCGGAATCTGTGTGACGTTCATGCAAGGCAGTTCCATATTCTTTAATGCAGCCGCGACAATGAAAACCGTAACTTTCATTGTCAATAACGTGACCACTACGATACATCCATTGTCGTGTCCAGCGTACCGTAAGCTGGTCGACACGAGATTCAGTCCGGCGAATGAAATCATGATTGTTATGCAATTCATGTCAAGCTATATAACGAATTCCTCCACAGTGTGCATTTGTAGTCTCGGCATTGCTTTCGCGATGCATGCCTGCGGTCAGTTGGACATGTTGTACACGTGGTTTAACGAACTCGTCGAGGATCATGCGAAGGGAAACCACTTAGCTGAACAAAGATTGACCAATATCGTCAAACATCACTTGAGAGTCTTGTGGTACTGTACTTAATTATAAAGCTTACACTGCACTTTATGCCATTATTGAATTAGCCATTATTTAAAGATTATTGAACATTCCGATTATGTTGCACGATAAATCACTCCCCCTCCCCAATATACGTTATATCAACGTTTGAAAACTGATCGAACTTTAACATTCATAAAACGTTCAAGTGTCTTCCCACTTGAGATTCCGGGATAAATATTTTTTATCGAATATAAAAAAATTTTATCTCGTACATATCGTATGTCAGACTTGATGTGAATCCTCCATAAAGTTTAGATTCGAACGCTTCCAAAATGTATATGTGGCATTTTTGGACTTAACTTCACGCGGATCGTTAGAGAAACGAAACGTTCAGCAGGTCAATGAACGGAAAACTTTTCTCAAACGTTTATATAACGTCTGTGTGTTGGTGGGGTAAGTGTCTTTCGATAAGTTTTAAGGGTTGATTTGATGCTGAAAAATATATATTTCTATTGAATTTGTATTAAATAATAAATTTATGTATAGGTAGTACGTCTACAAAGAAATGCACGTTTCCAAACGCGTTAAAACCAAAGTGAATATATTTTAGTTTTATAGCACGTATGGAGAATATTATGCATAAATCCTGTTTCGTGGAATTGACGGGGTGCACGCTAAATATGTGTTTAAGTGGATACTTTTTCATTATGGTACGCTAATTAACTGAGAAGAAAATATCTTATTAGAGAATATTAAAATTACCTTTTTTTTTATATATATTACATACATATGTAGAAAATTTAATTTCATTAAGAAATCACCTTTGAAAATGCAATAGAATATTTTTTTATGATAACAACCTATATTTTGATTTTATAGAATTGGCATGCGCTTAGTACAGCAAAAATGATGTCGTATTTTACGATATATGTATCAATGGCCTTCAATATTTTTATATTTTGCTATATCGGCGAGATTGTCACCGAGCAGGTAATATCTTGATATCAAAGTAGTATTTCTCATTATTTATGTAATACCGTCAGAAAATATAATAATCTATTTTTTTAATAATATTTCTATTGAGAATATTTTTATTCAGATTTCGTGTCTCTTAATATTTATATGCTTTACTATCTATTCTCAAATGTTCATAGTGAAAAAATCTTTAAAGATATTTATTTTAATTTATTAGTGTAAGAACGTCGGTCGAATGGCATATATGACCAATTGGTACAAGTTGGATCACAAAACTGCGCGTAACTTCATACTAATAATTGTGCGATCAAATAACGTGATCAAGATAACCGCAGGGAAAATATTTTCTTTGTCTATCGCCACGTTCGCGGACGTAAGTCATACAGATCGTCCTTATAACATTGTATTAAGAAACATATAATAAACACTATATCATACTGTGATAATTTGCATTATAAAATTGTAAAATTTAACAACCCTATGGCGAAAAATTAGTTTGTTTGATTTTCCACCTTACTCAATTAATTATTTCAATTAATCTCTTCACTTTCAAAGCTTCGATTTTTGAAATACCTTTTCGTATCATATGTAGAAACAAGACACTTTATTGTTCCAGGTAATTAAAACTTCCTTAGCATATATGAACGCATTACAAACGATGGCTATGTGAAATATAGTAAGTTAATTAACTTTCACAGACAACATATTTTGTACGAAAATTTTGAAAATACAGTTAATTTCTGTGAAAACATACAATTTGTTTATAGTCTAAATTATTTTCGAAAGGTCACTCAATACCTCTGGTCATCCCGAAAAATTCATTAGAAACACTTATATTACTCAGGAAATATTATTTCTGATCTCCTAGCTCAAAATAATAATTTCCCCGTTTTAATCCGCACATTACAAGGCTGGAGGAAATTTCGGAGAAAGACAATTGATCAAAACACACTATGACTCACTTCTGCTGTTATAGTATTTGTAAGGGAACACACTATGTTCCCCTGCAGAGTTCTGCAGGATAAAATAACCGTGTGACGAATAATTATTGATCGGACATACACGTACTTCTCCCACCCTTCTACTTCGTGTCTGATCCGAACGTTGCTATCCTATGCCTGTCATGATAGTAAGCTCCGAACCTTCGATCATGTTAGATCTTAAAAGTGTGCCACGCAAAGACGAGTCGACAGAAGACAATGATTATAGTTTACAATTGAGCCGATGGTTTCTCATATCCATCGGCGCTTGGCCGCAAACAAGCAAGTCGACCGTAATGGAGAAGTGGTCCACGTTCGTGTTAATTCCCATGTTCTGGGCCGCGGTGGCGATCAATGCGATACCGTGCCTATTGTACGTGTTTTTCGAAACGGAGGACATCCAGACGAAACTGAACACCGCTGGTCCGTTGATTCACAGGTTGATGGGCACGGTTAATTATTGGACACTACTTAGCCGGACCGGCGAAATGCGGGATTGCATAGGCCACATGGAGACAGACTGGAGGCTCGTACGAAGGGCCGAAGATCGCGAGCTGATGATAGAGTACTCCAAGTTCGGCCGCTTCATCACTATGATATGCGCGGTATTCATGCAGAGCGCCTCACTGCTCTTTATCGCGACTAAAGTAATGAAGAAGATAACCGTTGTTATCGATAATCAGACCATTACCATGCATCCAATGACATGTCCGGCGTACCGAAAGCTCATCGACGCGAGATTCAGCCCAGCGAATGAGATCATGCTGGTCATACAGCTCACATCGACTTATGTCTCGAGTGCCTCTACGGTGTGTGTTTGCAGTCTCGCTGCCATTTTCGCGATGCACGCTTGCGGTCAGCTGAATGTGATCTACGTGTGGTTGAACGAGCTCACCGAAAACCACGACGAAGGAGATCTGGCTGAAAAGAAATTAACTGTTGTCGTGGAGCATCACTTGAGGGTTCTGAGGTATTTCTAACTGTAACCTAACTGTAAAGCTTTGAATGCACTCAGTGTTAATTCACATTGACATGCTTAAGGTCGCATCGGAGCTCGATGTATGTATCTCCTGTCGCCTTATCATATCTGTGCATTTGTAATTATTCATATATATTGCAGCTTTATTGCGCGCATAGAAAGTATTATGCATAAAGCCTGTCTCGTGGAATTGATGGGATGCACAATTAATATGTGTTTAGTTGGATATTATGCTCTCATGGTATGCTAATTAATTGAAAAAAAAAATTTATTACTTGAGGTACATTGAAAACGAAATGTTTGTTTCGTATACAAAAACTTTGAACTACTGAATCGTAGTATAGAATTTAGAAAAGTAAATTAATTCTTTTCTATACATAAACCTGCAGTTTGATTCTTTTAGAATTGGGCCGCGTTTGACGTAGCAAAAATAATATCGTATGTTATTGTTTATTTATCGATGAGTTTCAATATTTTTATATTTTGCTACATCGGCGAGATTCTCACCGAGCAGGTAATACAGTGAATAAAATTATTTGATTAGTTCGTTTCTTGTGATAATTTTACGCTGGAAATAAAAATTATTATTACAATATATTTTTATATCTTCCAATATATACATATTTCATATTTCAATCACATGTCTATCTAAAAAAATCAAATATTTATGCTGATGTTTCGTGATATTTAATTATATTAACATTTTAAGTGTAATAGTCAGATTTCTGCATTGACAGAAATTTTCAAACTATCTATATCTATTTATTAGTGTAGAAATGTTGGAGATATGGCATATATGACTAATTGGTATAAACTACGCCACAGAACTGCGCTCGGTCTTGTTTTGATAATTGCACGATCAAATAATGTGATCAAAATAACTGCGGGCAAGCTATTTCATTTGTCTATCACAACCTTCGGCGACGTAAGTAACAAATATGTAGTACTCGTAAATACATCCATTTGTTTATATATAATTGAAACGTTTAATTTATGAAATATTTATGAATTATATATATATATATATATAACTACCCGGGTAGTCGAAATTGACAGCACTACTTATTATATAGAGATTTTACATTTAATCGTTCTAATATGTTCGTTATGGTATCTGAAATGAACGAGTTATTATTTCAGGTAATCAAGACTTCCGTAGTGTACTTAAATATATTACGAACAATGGCTATGTAAAATATAACATGTCAATGACAGTAATGAAAACATATTTTGTGTAAAACAGCTAAAATATTAAATAGATGGAATATTTAATAACTTTTATTAATGAGAAAAAGGAGTACCCTCTGCAACTCTTTGTCCTGATGCAAACATAAATTTGAAAGCAATTATACCTGCATATATCTATCAAACGTGACCTTCCTTACGTGACAGTTGATGATTTCCGTGCAATAACATCCGCCAGTTTTATTCGTGTATTGATTAGAACATTGTTCCACCCTTTTTTGGAACTAAATGATATATGCGGGCATTGAACGGATTTATTTCCCCAGATTGTACATTGAACAAATCATAGGGTCGGGTAAAATAGGAAGAAATCTATCAGATAGCGATGCAAATGATTGCTATTATTTTTGGACGATTATTATTCTTATTATGTTAGGTCTAATACTATGAATATAGACTTAAGAGTTGGGAAAGAAGTATCGCACTCGTTCTAGCTCAACTTGGATTGAAGTGGACAGCTTTAAAGGTATAACTACATACTTTCATTTGAGGAGTGTTTCATGTTCTGCAGAGAGAGAGAGAGGGAGAGAGAGAGAGAGAGAGAGAGAGAGATAAAGAGGGAGGGAGAGGGAAGTAAGATAAGTTTTGCTTGGTTCATACCCTATCATAGTTTTAAAAACGAAAAAGATAAGGAAAACGAAAGGATCGTGCGTGCGATGAGGCAACCCGGAAATTTATTATAATTTCATCGTCTACCCTACGATAAATTCACCATCATATCTGATAATCGCACAATCGAGTAACGTGACTAAAATATCTGCAGGAAAATAAATTCAATTATCTATTGCAACTTTCGGCGTCGTAGCAACACGAAGAAAAGTGTCTAGAATTTGCGTATTAAGATATTATACGAGGGAGATTTTCGAAAGTAAAGATGATCCATAATGATTTCTGTGCAACTGACAAGCGCTAAGTTTTCATGTAACTTTCTTGTTTTTCAAGTATTTAAGACTGCTCTAGCATATTAGAATGTATTGCGAACGATGGCAACATAAATATCAAATACCTAAGTTGAGAGCTATATAAAACGTATACATCTTGTCAGATGGATATATAATGTCAAAATACACATGATAAATATTCAAAATAATGTGTTGGCATCGGTTTTTCAATCTATATCACAATATATATAGAAGGGAAAGATCGAGTAATAGTAAAAGCAAAAAAGTTAAAACTAAAGAGTTGTATTTCAGTTTTATAACACATATGGGGAATATTATGTATAAAGCCTGTTTTGTGGAATTGGCAGAATGCATGCTAATTCTGTGTTTAATTGGATATTATTTCATTATAGTATGCTAATTATCTGAAAAGGAAAAAATCTAAGAAGTTCATTAAAATTAAATTTGCTATGTCACATACAATCACATGTGTATATAAACAATTGTTATTAAATTATTTAATTATAAAATCAAATAAACAATTATAATTACATTCTCTTCATATATGATAATGAACTTAGATTTTGATTTTATAAAATTGGGGAGCGCTTAATGCAACAAAAATAACTTCATACTCTATGATATACAAATCATTGGCTTACTATACTTTCATATTTTGCTACACCGGCCAGATAGTCGCCGAACAGATAATACCGTGAGATTAAAATAATGATTCTCATACATAATTTTTACATACAATATGTTCAAAAAATGTAATAATCTATTTTTAATCGAAAATTTAAATTAAGTTTATTTGTGCCTACCTTAACTTTTTTATGCTTTATTATAAATCTCGATACTCATAGCGAATATGAAATTGTTTTTATTAATTTATCAGTGTAAAAGCGTCAGTCGAATGGCATATATGACCAATTGGTAAGAATTGCATCACAAAGTTGCACGTAGTTTTATACTAGTAATTATTCAGTCAAATAACGCAACAAAGATAACAGCAGGAAAAATATTTCCTTTGTCTATCGCCACGTTTGAAGACTTAAATCATATAAATCATCATATAATAACAGTATTGTATGAAGGAATTCGTAATAAACACTACATCATTCTGGTTGGTAATTTGCATTATAATACTATAAAGTTTAATAATCACATGGTGAAAAATTTCACATGCCGACTTTATTCAATTAATTATTTCACATAATTTTTCAACAATTGAATCTTCAACATTGGAAATATTTCTCCGTATCGCATGTAAAAACGAAAAACGTTGCTGTTTCAATTAATTAAAACTTCGTTAGCATATATGAATGCATTGCAAGCGATTTCTATATGAAATACAGTAAGTTAGATATAGTATAGATACCATATTTTACATAAAAAAATTAATTTGTTCTCCAGATGCAATATAAGTTTAAAGAAGTATAATTAGTTGCTGTCATAATATTTATTTGCACTTAAATTTATGAAAGGTTATGCTCTGATCATCCTGGACATTATTATCAACACTTAAAAATTCCTGGAATATTATTTATCTCGTCGCTACTAATATTAACTCTCCCTCCTAATGAACACGAGAAGCTTCACAAAAATAATGTAAAAAACACATTCACCATATCGACGTTTTCGTTCACCTTTACATATCCGCTCTTATAGTATTGGCTGCACACAAAGTCCTCCCGTAACACAAGCAGCTATATAATTGTCTGACGAATAATTATTGATCGGACATATACTCCCCCTTCCTCTGCTCCGTGTCCAATCCGAACGTTCCTTTCGCGGGCCCGTCATTGTAGTAAGCTGCGTACCTTCGTAAAGCGATCATGGGTTGCAAACATGTGCCAAGTAATGACGAGTCGACAGAAAACAATGATTACAGTTTGCAACTGAGCCGATGGTTCCTCGTATCCATCGGCGCTTGGCCGCAAACACGCAAGTCGACCGTTTTGGAGAGGTTGTCTGCGTTCGTGTTAATTCCCGTGTTCTCAGCTGCAGTGGCGATCAACGCGATACCGTGCTTATTATACGTGTTTTTCGAAGCAAAGGACATCCAGTCGAAACTGAACGCCGCTGGTCCGTTGATTCACAGGTTAATGGGCTCGTTTAATTATTGGACGCTACTCAGGCGGACCAGCGACATGCGGGATTGCATACGCCACATGGAGACAGACTGGAGGCTCGTACGAAGAGCCGAAGATCGCGAGCTGATGATACAGTACTCCAAGTTCGGCTGCTTCATCACGGTGATGTGCGCGGTGTTCATGCAAAGCGGTACAATGCTCTTTAGCGTAGCTAAGGCAGTGAAGACGATAACCGTCGTTATCGATAACCAGACCATTACTATGCATCCGATGACATGTCCGTCGTACCAAAAGCTCATTGACGCGAGATTTAGCCCGGCGAATGAGATCATGCTAATCATACAGTTCACATCGACTTATGTCTCGAGTGCCTCTACGGTGTGTGTGTGCAGTCTCGCTGCCGTTTTCGCGATGCACGCTTGCGGTCAGCTGAATGTGCTCTACGTGTGGTTGAACGAACTCACCGAGAATCACAACGAAGGAGATCTGGCTGAAATGAAATTAACTGTTCTCGTGGAGCATCACTTGAGGGTCCTTGGGTATCACTGTCTAACTGTTAAGCTTTGAATGCACTCAGTGTTAATTCACATTAACATGCTTAATGTCACATAGGAGCAGGACACATGTTCTTCTTCTCTCATTATCATATCTGTGCACTTTGTAATTATCCATATATATTGCAGTTTTATCGCGCGCATAGAGAGCATTATGCATAAAGTCTGTCTCGTGGAATTGATGGGATGCACAATAAATATGTGTTTACTTGGATATTATGCTCTCATGGTATGCTAATTATCTGAAAAGAAAAATATATTGCTAGAGGTAAAATATATTGAAGACGAAATTTTTGATTTGTATATAAAGAATTTGATAATACTGAATCGTAGTTCAGAAATCAGAAACGTAAATTAATTCCCTTCTATACATAAACCTGCATTTTGATTCTTTTAGAATTGGGCCGCGTTTGACGCAGCAAAAATTATATCGTATGTTATTGTTTATTTATCGATGGGTTTCAATATTTTCATATTTTGCTACATCGGCGAGATTCTCACTGAGCAGGTAATACAGTGAATAATATTATTTATTTAGTTCATTTCTTGTGATAATTTTACACTGGAAATAAAAATTAATATTATAATATATTTTTATATCTTCCAATATATACATATTTCATATTTCAATCATATGTTCATTTAGAAAAATAAAATATTTATGCTGATGATTCGTGATATTTAATTATATTAACATCTTAAGTGTAATAGTCAGATTTCTGCATTTATAGAAATTTTCAAAATATGTATATATATTTATTAGTGTAGAAATGTTGGAGATATGGCATATATGACTAATTGGTATAAACTACGCCGCAGAACTGCGCTCGGTCTTGTTTTGGTAATTGCACGATCAAATAATGTGATCAAAATAACTGCGGGCAAGCTATTTCATTTGTCTATCACAACCTTCGGCGACGTAAGTAACAAATATGTAATATTCGTAAATACATCCGTTTGTATATAATTGAAATATTTAAGTTATGAAATATTTATGATTTATATATACATATACCTGGTGTAGAAGTATAAAACCGGAATTTTTTATAAAAATTACACGTCTGTTATTTGAAAATGATAAAAAATATTTTATTCAAAATAATGTCGATTGCTATTTATACATTTTTCTCACCTCTCCGGCAGTTTATGAATGCCACGCCAAAAAAACATTTCTTCTTTTGAAGCGAACCAGCTATCGAGCCATTTTCGTACATTTTCATACGAATTGATACGTTGTTCAGCGAAAGCGTGTCCCATTGCTGCAAATAGATGATAATCGGACGGAGCCAAGTCTGGAGAATAAGCCGCATGCGTTAGTATTTCCCAACTGAACGCCTCGATCGTTTCCCTGACCCGTTTTGCTGTGTGTGATGGGGCATTATCATGGAGCAAAATGACTTTGTGTTGCCTTTTTCCATATTCCGGTCGTTTTTCACGCGATTTAAATCGATCATTTGTTGTTGGTAGCGATCAGTGTTAACGGTTTCACCAGGTTTTNGATCAGTGTTAACAGTTTCACCAGGTTTTAGCAGCTCATAATAGATTACACCCTTCTGATCCCACCAAACACAGAGCATTGTCTTCTTTCCAAAGCGATTTGGTCTTGCAGTGGATGTCGATGGTTAGCCTGGATTCACCCAAGATTTCTGACGCTTAGGATTCCCAAAATATATCCATTTTTCATCACCTGTCATGATACGATGGA